GGGGGCGGGAGCCCAAGAGAAGTGCTCTCTCAAGGGGGAGGGGGAAGAAAAGCTAAAGCGTTTTAAGCTCTTAAATAATTTTCCCCTCCCGTCTCTACAGTGCAATCGACAGGTCCAGTTTGGAACAGCAGCAACGTGGTCGGGCGAGGGAGGCGGAGGGAAGCGAGGCTTCGCTTTTGTGCTTTCCGGGGGGAGCAGGAAAGGGCGGGTGGGGTGGGGGTGGAGCTGTGCTGGAAGAAGCAGCGGTCGGAAAGGTCTGCTTGCAGGCTGCAAGGACTGGGCGTGGGCGGAGGCAGGCAGGAATGGGTCTGGGCAGGGTGCTGCCTGATCCCACACGTTGGCTTCTCCTTCCTCAGCCCGTCCCTTGGTGCCTGTCCTAGCCTGCCACGAAGCAGTGGGGCTCTCTGAGAAAGGGAAGTGCCACACGAGACACCCACGGGGTGGGAGAGGAGGCAGAGGTTCTTCCCTCCTCCCCCTTTCTGCTTCTCAAGGTCTTGACCAGGGTTCAGAGGGAAGTTCCCGCTGATCGGGGTCTCCGCCTGAGGGGTTCTCTCCAGTGGCTTCAGACGTGTGGGGAGGAATGGCAAAGATCCGGCTTCTCTCGGGACTGCACAAGTCTCCAGCCCCCTTGGCACATTCGTCGCTTCTGGCCTCCCGGCCGCTTGGCTCGGCTCATCCGGAGGAGCTGTCTGGGGGAGGCTCCTCCCGTAAAGTTCACCACCATCATCATTATTTTTTTAAAAGTCTGTCAAAAAACAAAGTCCTCTGGCCCACACAACCCTTTGTGCTTCCTGATCTGCCGCCGCCGCCGCCTCCTTCTGCCTCAGTGTGGAGCACAGGGTTCCGTCGGCAGTAGGTGCTTTCCGCCGCCCACCCCCCTTTCTCCAGCCGGCCGTCCTTGTGCACATGGTCACAAGTCTGTGACTTTGTTTTCCACTGCGGCGGCAATCTGCTGCAGGCGGTAGCCCAGCTGCATCTTCTGGGCCGTCGGGTCCTCCTCCAGGGCGGTGATGATCTGTGGGAAGACTAAGAGCTGTCAGCCCCTGGTGGCCTTTGACCCTTGGGCTTCAGGGGAGGGGGCTGCAGCTTAGAGGCAGAGCCCATGTTCTGCACGGTTGGTGGTAGGAACCAGGTGCAACCCCCAGGGAGCACGCCGCTGAGCCAGACGCAACGTTCCCCACAGGGGGCTAGTGACTGTCTGGCCACCAGTCTTAAGAGCCGCCACCAACCAAGCTCCCTCTTCCCACTTCTGCCCCAGCGTGAGTCGCCCAAAGGCACCCAAGTGAGGCCATGCCTGGGCCAAGATTTGAACCCGGGACACCTGGTGGCTTGCTCATGTGCCTAGCCACTGTGCTGCTCCATCTCTCACTGTCCACCAGCTTCTGAACCTCTTATCTGACCAGCTTATTTTGAAGCAAGACCAGGCAGGCTTCGAGGTTACACAGGACTCTTTATCAGGCCTGTTGAAGAGTTCTGTTGCACTCAGAAGCCTGCATTTTTCTAACTTAATAGAGGCTGGATTTTGAAAACAACCCCTAATCCCCTTTGACTAATGCGTAGCCTAGAAAGGCAGTTAGAGAGAAGCTGTTGACCTGCAGCTGTTAAAGGCACAGGAGTCCTCCCAGATGGCCTTCAATGACGGACTGCAGCCTTGCATTGTCAGATGGCAGACTGGAGTGACTCCACCACTGGATCTACTTGTGCCCCAACCTGCCGCTTGGGCACCAGTGTGGCTTTATGTCTCTGAGGACTGCAGCTGTAGGAAGGAGCAACACAAAACCTTACTGGGGCAAGAAGAAACAAAGAGAAATTAGGAGCCCTGATGTGCATACGGCTCATCCTGGTTTCCTCTGACACAAAGAAACGGGGAACAATTCGGCTGACCCTCTGAGCTCAATCACCCCTGGTCTGCCAGGTCGGGCTGCCAACCGAGCAGAAAAGAAACTTGTCACACTTGCTCCTGTGCCTTTAACAGCAACTGGTTCTATAACTGCTGAAGACAGATTCAGGTGGGGCAGCCGCGTTGGTCTGAAGCAGCAGAACAAAGTCTGAGCCCAGTGGCACCTTCAAGACCAACAGAGTTTTATTCAAGGTATGAGCTTCCATGTGCAAGCACACTTCCTCAGGTACAGTGAAAGGAAAATGACCAGTCTATACATATAGGCAGAGGGTGAGAGCAGTAAATTAGCATATACAACATAATGAAGATGTTTAACGGATTCCAGGACCAAACAGGAATACCAAGCTTAGTTTATATGGTCAAGGGGGCGGGAGCCCAAGAGAAGTGCTCTCTCAAGGGGGAGGGGGAAGAAAAGCTAAAGCGTTTTAAGCTCTTAAATAATTTTCCCCTCCCGTCTCTACAGTGCAATCGACAGGTCCAGTTTGGAACAGCAGCAACGTGGTCGGGCGAGGGAGGCGGAGGGAAGCGAGGCTTCGCTTTTGTGCTTTCCGGGGGGAGCAGGAAAGGGCGGGTGGGGTGGGGGTGGAGCTGTGCTGGAAGAAGCAGCGGTCGGAAAGGTCTGCTTGCAGGCTGCAAGGACTGGGCGTGGGCGGAGGCAGGCAGGAATGGGTCTGGGCAGGGTGCTGCCTGATCCCACACGTTGGCTTCTCCTTCCTCAGCCCGTCCCTTGGTGCCTGTCCTAGCCTGCCACGAAGCAGTGGGGCTCTCTGAGAAAGGGAAGTGCCACACGAGACACCCACGGGGTGGGAGAGGAGGCAGAGGTTCTTCCCTCCTCCCCCTTTCTGCTTCTCAAGGTCTTGACCAGGGTTCAGAGGGAAGTTCCCGCTGATCGGGGTCTCCGCCTGAGGGGTTCTCTCCAGTGGCTTCAGACGTGTGGGGAGGAATGGCAAAGATCCGGCTTCTCTCGGGACTGCACAAGTCTCCAGCCCCCTTGGCACATTCGTCGCTTCTGGCCTCCCGGCCGCTTGGCTCGGCTCATCCGGAGGAGCTGTCTGGGGGAGGCTCCTCCCGTAAAGTTCACCATCATCATCATTATTTTTTTAAAAGTCTGTCAAAAAACAAAGTCCTCTGGCCCACACAACCCTTTGTGCTTCCTGATCTGCCGCCGCCGCCTCCTTCTGCCTCAGTGTGGAGCACAGGGTTCCGTCGGCAGTAGGTGCTTTCCGCCGCCCACCCCCCTTTCTCCAGCCGGCCGTCCTTGTGCACATGGTCACAAGTCTGTGACTTTGTTTTCCACTGCGGCGGCAATCTGCTGCAGGCGGTAGCCCAGCTGCATCTTCTGGGCCGTCGGGTCCTCCTCCAGGGCGGTGATGATCTGTGGGAAGACTAAGAGCTGTCAGCCCCTGGTGGCCTTTGACCCTTGGGCTTCAGGGGAGGGGGCTGCAGCTTAGAGGCAGAGCCCATGTTCTGCACGGTTGGTGGTAGGAACCAGGTGCAACCCCCAGGGAGCACGCCGCTGAGCCAGACGCAACGTTCCCCACAGGGGGCTAGTGACTGTCTGGCCACCAGTCTTAAGAGCCGCCACCAACCAAGCTCCCTCTTCCCACTTCTGCCCCAGCGTGAGTCGCCCAAAGCCAGCATAGGGCCTTGCTGGGAAGAGGCGGGAGGGAAGGAGGGAGGAGGGGGCGGGCTGCTTCCCAAAGGGAAGCGCTGCCATCTCCCGCACGGCTGCCCTCCCCCAGCCATGCTACAAGACCCTCTCCTCCCTTGCCATTCCCCTCCCCCCTCCATTAGACAAAGCAGACATGTACGCAGAGGTCCCACGTTAGCAAACGTGGCTTTTCGAGGGTGGACTTGAAAAATGCATCCCTGGGCCACTGGATCAGTGATGGGGGGGGGGGGAGACAAACAAAATGATCACCCCATAAAACTTAGAAATCATCCCCACTCCCTCCCATCGTTGAAAATGCTTTAAAATGCAGAACACACTGCAGCTGAAAAGGCCATTCAGGGGTTTGCTTGTTTGTTTCTTGTGGGGTGTGTGTGTTTCAATGGACT